TACCGCCGAGCATTTAAAAGCGGATTGTGCGATTAATCAAGTATTATGAGTTATAACAAATTTAGTAATTGCGTAGTCCTATTGCAAAATGTGTTGAAAAAAATATTTTTATAAAGTATCTATGCGTATTTTTGAAGAAAATTGTTTGAACATCACTATTATATAAGTGATTTGTGATATTTATTATTAACTTCTGAAGGTATTATATTAATTTTTGGTTTTAAAAACTATATTATAACAAGATCTAATTTTTAAAATAAAAGATTTGTTAAATCGATTTCATGAATTTTATTAAAAAAAAAAATTGGCGGTTTTTTTCGAAAATTGCGCTTTTTTTTAACAATCTGGACACCCTCCTCTCAATTTTCCGCCGCCTTCGAACGGCAAATGGGTTTTATAAGAATATTTTTCGTGGCCGCTATTGATGTTACCGGGGCCAGGGATCGGACCCAGGTCCTAAGGTGTCGTAAAGCGCACCTGTAACCACTCAGCCCCAGCCACCGCCGGTAAAAATTTTGCTAGTCAAAATTAGGAATTTTTTTCCACTTTCTACCAAACACTTTAACTTTCAGGCAGTCTACAATAAACCTGTTAAGAAATAGACAACAAATGGCACTCGCATGGTTTCCTACCGGGCATTCAAGAATGAAGGAGCTCGGACAGTTGGAAAGAGTTTAAACCCTGTCTGTAGCCTAGGCGCAGTTTAAGGGAATGCACCTTTTGCTGATTTTAATTTAAAAAATAAAATAAAATTTTCATAAAAAACTGAGTGAAATTTTAAAACCTAAAATATACTGGGTAATTTAAGCTGGAAAGGTTCTATCTTGAAGCCGGCTTATACAAAAAAATATCAAAAAAATCGAATCTAAAAAATGGTTTCTTATAAAAAAACTTTCCAAAACGGGACTGGTTAAAAACTAGTTGCAAAGTACTGCACTGGACGACGATTTCTACTGGAATTATAAAATCTATTATATTTTAAGACATCCACCAAAATATTTCGCAAAAATATTAAGATTTAAGTGAGCTGGACCGATTTGAAAATACCTCCAAAAATGGAGTTTTTTATGAATAAAAATAGTTTCTTAAAGAACTTTTAGAAAAAAGTCCTCTCAGATGACAAAACAGATTAAGCTTAAAAAATCTGAATGAAAATATTTAAAAATATTTTCAACGGAATCGCAAGAATAAGATTTTTAATGCTGTTTTTTAACATTTTTCAAACGTTGGTTTACGAAAAACATGAATAACTAGGCCAAAGCTATTCATTGGTGTCCCAATTTTTTTTTTAAACACCAACACATCTTAATTCAACTTTGAATGACATTCGTTCATCCTACTTTTCTATTTCATCCTTTGAATTAGTTTATAAATGATAAATAAAAAGGGTGAGAAAATAGCTTTCCAACGACATCTCCTCTATCTAAATCGGAAGAGTTAAGGTTCAGTTATTTAAGTTTTTCTTTTACCAATCTTTAAAAAAGTCAAAAAACTGCATCAAAAATCTCATCATTACGATTCCGTTCAAACTTTTTTAAAAAAAAAAAATCGTTAAGTAACTATTTTTATTCATAAAAAACTCTATTTTTGGAGGTATTTTCAAATCGGTCCAGCTCACTTAAATCGTAATATTTTTCCGAAATATTTTGGTGGACGTCTTAAAATATAATAGATTTTATAATTCCAGTAGAAATCGTCGTCCAGTGCAGTACTTTGCAACTAGTTTTTAACCAGTCCCGTTTTGGAAAGTTTTTTTATAAGAAACCATTTTTTAGATTAGATTTTTTTGATATTTTTTTAGTTTTCTTCTTTTCAGTTACAGATTCCATTTTTGTTATATATTTTATTTAAAAAAAAATATATTGTAAGCTGCACGCAACAGTTTAAATTCCATTCGAAAATTCACAACTGCCTCCACCGCGATTTGAACTCGCGACCAACGATGCTTGAGTTGCAGTTCTTCACGCTGAGCTACTTTCGTATTGTATGAGTAGTGAGCATTTGCACATTTACACCAAAAGTTTCAACTGTCGCGCTCTGCATCCGTTTTGCAATAGTTCAGAGATAGTTCTGATATATGTAGGACGGAACTAGCGCCTTGTCGGACTGTCTCTAAATTTTAAAATTTAATTTATTTAATTATAATTATGAGTTTTCACTGTTTGAAAATAAAATGTTTGCGTTTAGACGGTTCCACAAATATTGCTGAAAACCTCGTATAAGCTTGAATGGCGATGAAGAGGTGTCTTTGTTCTTAATCAATTATAAATTTGTTTTTCTCCTAATTTTTAAGAATTTGGTCCTTGTGCGTCAAGTGCTAGAAAATGTGTACACTGCCGGAACAAAGTATTGGCACAGCAAATGTTTCACAATATATGCAACAATTTTCATTCTGATATTTTTCCGATAATTTCGTATATAAATATGGTTCATTCTACAACAAAAAACATAAAAATAGAATTCCTAAATTTTATGCGAAACTCGCGAAAATTCAGAAAATTTTCATTGAAATTTTCAACTTTTTAATCAGAGTTTTAAGAATTTTTTTGAGTATGTAGATTTGTAGCCCAATCAATTTTGTTATAATAAAGTGCAAGTTTAAGTAGCTAGGAGTTACCGTTGATTTTCGGCATTTTTTTTCACGAAGTCTCTTCCATACAAGAATGAACCATATTTTTATACAAAATTGGCGGAAAAATATTAGAATTCAAATTGTTGCATATATTGTGAAAAATTTGCTGTGCCAATACTTTGTTCCGGCAGTGTATGTATGTATGTATTTAAGTGATTTAATAGTTTTTTCGAGAATCAGTACAACAAGAATTTAAGAATAAAATATTTTATTAACAGAAAACAATTGCTTACATTTATTTGGGTTATTGGCACTGAGGAGTTGCTGATAAAATTTAAAAAAAAAATTTACTACATGTCTCGCAGATATGTCTTGAGGAGAGATCCCTAAAGCAGTTACTCTTCATAAAATACTTAATTTTCACTTGAGGTTTCAGTATTCCCAAATTCTCCAGCGATATTATAATAATTATTTATATTGAGAATGCAAATGCTGCTTTGTGACACATTTACCAAAAATCGTTGGTAACTTCCTGAAAAGAATACGAATGTTTTTGAAACTAATTTGTGCCAAGAATGTTCAAAGCTCTACTCACTTTGATCAAAAAATTTCGAAATTTCAATCCGTAAATTCTCTCAAGGATTTGCCTGTTTGCGAAGGCTGCTCATCAATGGTCTTTGCGAATCGGCGCAAGTGTGTATTTGTAACATAGCCACGGCTTTGCTACAGGAGGCGAAATGTAATCCAAATTGAGGCTGCTTTCCTATGTTGGCATTTTAGCGATAGCGAAAGTTAGAATCCGGCTGATGTTCGGCAAAGTTGGCTTTTTGATTTCGAAAAGAACTTCATCAGCAAGAAACGCTATGTTTTCAGATCTAAATATTTTAGCACCCTTTCCAAATTGTTTTCCCATAATTTTCATCTTTCTTAGATAAGTAATTGCAAAAAGTACATGTTTTTTCTTCTAAGAGTTTCATGGAACTTTCGCAAATGTCAGCAGTACCAAAATTTTTTTCAACATGGTTAACAACCGAAAAAGGCTTTTCTTTTTTCGAACATCCAATCAGCCGAAGTTCAAACAACTCGCCTTTTGAGATAACATGATAGCCCAGAAAAAACCCCTTTTTCTCGAAAACGGCTAAAAACCGCGGGTTAAGTAAAATAAAATCAACTCATTACATCTTCATCTATCCATTTCCTTTGCCATTTTGATTGCCGAAAGTTAACAAATTTGTAAGAGCTTACATAAAATCATAAATGGAAATAAATCAGAAAATTTTTGAGGTTATGCAAATACGTCAGTTTTTTTTTTTTGCAAACAATAACTTTTTTGAATTGGGTCATAGTTCTCACTTATAGTTTTGTTTTTTCATTTAAAATTTTTCTTTAATTATTCAAACTTTCAAAAAAAAATAAAAATGCACTTGAAACTTGCAAAATAAAGCGGTTGTGCAAACATCAATCAATATCAATAACGTTTTGAAAGTGTAAATTTGGTTTATTGCTGTCTAACGGTGTTTTTTATTTTACAGAAACTAAGTGAAGTTTCTATTATTTTTTAGTATTCCCTGCAGAATGGCAACAAAAAATAATGTACAACTGCATTTACGAAATTGGACTTTCGCAGAGCCAGATAAATCTTTGACCTAATGTGCATGGTCTGAAAAAAATTAATACTTTGATAACCACTTTTGTAATTAGTTATAGTGGTAAATTAGCACTCATACGATACTCAGCTGTCTTGTAGGGTAGCTATCTAAAATTTGCACTTTATTATACTAAAATTTAAAAAACTGCGTGCTAGAAAAAATTCTAAACAATTATTAATTTTTTTTTTTTTTTTTTTGAAAGGCCCTCGAATGTCTCTATGGTTCCACGGATCCGATTAACCCAATTTTCAATCACTCTGCCGCATAGATCCAGTTGAATAAGAACATACGCTACCACCATACTTGGTGATGCCCCTTTCATCCTCGGAAATGACATGCCTGAGGCTGAGGAAGCGGGTGACGTCAGTGGACGCGATCCATAGTTTCCGGTATCAGTATCGTGAGGTTACAGATAGATGCATTTATAAACTATAATTGATGGATGCGTTCAAAATGCGCAACAACGGATAAACACCGAATTGGAACTTAGTTGCGCAAGCCAGGAATTTCCATCAATTATAGTTTATAAATAAAAGAGACCGATGCTTTGATGTTTTTTTCTGAACACAGCCTTTGGTGGCGGATTTTGCCGAGTATGGAATGACAAGCAATAGATTCTGCTAATAGCTTTAAGCAGTCTCCGAGCGGCAAATAGTTTTTAAGATAAGCTTTGAGATTTGCCATTTTTATTAGTTTTGGGTGTTGCTCAGATCAGAGATTGATCAAATGGTAGTAGGAGGAGTCAAAAAGTTAAACCCTTAAGCATTAAAACAAATAAAACCAATGCATACTTTAGAGTTTTAATATTAACGATCGGATACAATTAATATTTTTCTCTTTCATGTTTGTTAAACAAATCATTCAATTAATTAATTCATCGAAAACCTTTTGGTATCGATATAGACATAGGGACATTGCAATAGCAGAAAAATCAAACTAACATTAAAATGCGTAATTCAGTGCATTCTCGTAAGGTCTTCGACAATTTTAATAACATCGTCAACGTCTGCTTCCTTCTTTTCGCCGTTTAATGTAATCTGTAAAAAAAATTGTACCAGTTAGATAAAAAGCTCAATATCTAAGTTCTATTATCAATTTACCTCCAAACCCATAACTGTTTCTTTCATTTTATCTCTGCTTAAATCGAGAAAACTTTCAATTAAATCGCCATCGATAAAGTTTTCACACGGCTCCGTCTTCTGTGTTGTTTGATAGCTTCTATAATAGGAGTGATCTATTTTCCCCACAGATTTAATGGTATTCGTTAGACGTTCTTCAAGGCTATGTAGGAAATCGTAGAATTCTTGCGGTATTTGTGTAACAATGCCTATAGCGCCATTCACTGTACCATACAGCACACAGCCCTGATTGGGCGTAGTGCGTTCACCTACATTTTGCATCACTAACGAACCATGGCGGAATACATTAACAACATCGCCTAAATGGAAACGTGCAACTTCAGGTAATAACTGACGCTCCTCGTCCGTGGTGGCGGCACTAATTAAAAAAAAAAACATATAAAGTGTGTTGTTGTAATGGCTTTGTCTCAGAGTTACCTATCTTTTTGGCAAACAAAAAGATTGCCATAAGTTTCCGAGCCCAAAAATGTGTCATCATCCAAGATTTCTACAGCGCGCATCCACTTCGGATCGCAGTCACGTGATATCTCCACGAAAATACCCTCCATTTGCTTATGCTGCAGCAAAGTCATTGAGCGCATCAGATCGCCAACCAAAATGAAGTCACCTGTATTGATTAGTTATAAAACATATTCAGTTATTTTCATTCGATTCGTACACCTAATCAATGCCCTACCTTTGGCTTTTAAATACAAAACGGAAATATTGTTCTGAATATTACATTCCATACGCAATTCTTTTTCATTGGTCCATTCATAAAGGCGTACAAAACTGTTTATACCCGCCAACACTTTGCCATTGAACTCAACCAGTGAGTGACATGAGCCATCAATTTTTGTTTCGGCCACCTGTGTCAATTTTCCTTCGTTGTAGTGGAAAATAATAATGCGACCCACTTTAGGTTCAGGCTCATCTGCATAAATGAGCGCAGTAGATACCACATAATACGTATTCGGGTCATCACCTAACCTAGCGGACATTAAGGAAATTATGCTCTCTGAAGGCATAAATTGATGCGCATGCAGCACTTCGAACGTATTCTGATCAATTATCAATAAATTGTTTATATCCAATTCTTGGCCAACTTCGGCATTTGTAGTTGCCGTATTACCACCACCCGGTTTGGGTACTATGTTTGAAGCGTAGGTGATATTCTGTGCCTGCGTTGAAGCACTTGGCCTTGTTGGCTTTGGCCCACCTCGTCCTTGCACATCGACTCGCAATGTTGCCACGCCAAAAGTCTGCGAACTCTCCTGATAAGCAATGCGACGTGGACCCTCACCAAGTGGTACAGTACGAATATGCAACTTTTGAATCTCATCGATAGTGCCCAAAATCACCGAGTTTTTGGTGGCCAAAGCCAAACTGTCCGGGTACGATTGTGCATTCAAGGAGCACATATGATTTACTTCTTTCAAATTCACATTTGAAAACACCAATTTGTGGTTTGAGGAATAAATAACAGTTGGACGATCGGAGCAGGCAAACACATTGGTAGTCGCAAATGATTTAAAAGTACGCAATGTGGTGGGTTGTGTTCCCAATGTAACTTTCTTTTTCTCGCTTAAGCGGCCGTCCGCTTTGCTTAAAATAAAATAGAACATGGAACCATCACCCAATGCACATAGCAAATAATGTATGCTTTCGAAGGTGGTCATCAAAATAGAGCGTGGTATAATTTCTGCATGTAAGAAAGGTTTAAATACACAAAGAAAAAAATTAAGTTACAAATTATTACCGCCTCCCAACTTTTCGGTGTACATAGTTCCCAGTTTCGGCAGTGATAGAACCACAGCAGATATATCTGTCCATAAGCCAACTGCGACGAGATTAGCTTTGCTGTTGCCCTCCTCTAGTGGCGTAATGTCCAAACAAGCGACCTCATATTCCAATGCCCTGTGAGACTTTTCAGCTAAGCAGCAATTTTCGATTTCAATGTAATAGACATTGCATGCCGAGGCAACAACAATCTGTGATGCGTTGCATGACACAACACCAATACGTTTATCATCTGGCGGCTGCCATTCACCTACCAAACTTTTAGTACTACTTTTTACTAGACGTACCGTGAGTGGTGTTACTTGTATAATCTAGTTATAAAATAAATAATTACAAACTATAGCCCACGAGTGGTTAGGCCCATTTAAGAGCACTTTATTTACCTGATCGTAGTCAACATTGGCACAATGAAAAGTTTGCTGATCACTAATAAAGCCTGGTATTTCTGTTTCTTCAACTTCCTCACCAGTCAGCGTCAAAATTCGTGTGTGACCCACAAAGGCCAGCACCAATGTGTTTTCAAAAATACTATCGTCTATACCTACTTTAAGTGACCACATACCCTTTATACCTGGTAAATCAATACAGGCGTGCTCCTGAATGCCAATGCCGATTCTAAAAAATTTTATGTTATTAAGATCGTATTTGAATTGTGTGCAAAAAGTTAAATATACCTAATAATTCGAAGTGATCCATCTTTAAAACTACCAGAGCATGTTATAATTTGTCCTTGGCCCTGCCGATCTAAATCTACCACACCTAAATCAAGAATAGGCGCTAGGCTGGTGAAATTCTCCATCGGAATAACGTAAGAGCCATTTTCGTTCGCAGTTGTGCTCAAGCGCACTAACTGAGAGTCTCCGTGCTTCGAGCCAATGAAAAGAAATCCGTTGTCCAAATATGTTATACACTCCGGTATGGATATTTCACCTTAAAAAGGAATAACTTAAAACCTATTATGTACAATTATTCAATGTAAATTACCTAGCAACTCCACTTTTATTTCTTTAACGGAAACTCCGCCTTTACCATTGTCTACAGTCTCCAAGAATAACATAAACAGCTGGCCATACATATTGCCCAGCAAATAGCGTTGGCCCTTGCTATCTACTCGTGCGTAGCAGTTAATAGTACTTTGCTAATAAACAAAATAAACCATAGAATACGTGTCTAACTGTTGAATAAATTTCGACACTCACTTTAAATGTAGAAGGTGCTACAGCATGGTAGCTATTTCCATCGTGGTAAACAATAGATTCCCGACCAATTACAATGGCACCACCTAACAGTAAGCAGTGAAGAATTTGATTAATGACACAATAATACCATTAGATATTAATTATATTGCCCGATATATACCGTACCCAATGGTGTTGGCACTGGTATCAGCATTGTTGCTTCAGTCTCCACATTATCCTGCTTCCAGGCAATCTTCATAAACTCTTTGTCACGTAAATTGATTTCGTGCGTCTTAACATGACGTCCATCAACATCTTTGTGTATAACGATGATAGTTGGATTTATGCAACCATATAAAAATTCTACATCATAAACATTCAGCTCGTCCATGCTAAAATAAAAATATGTTATTCTATTCTTGGTCATGTTGAAGACATGTGGTACTTACCGTAAATTAGTCGCCTTCAATTCGCTTGTCTCCTTATCCAAAGGAATGATGGTGAACAGTCCCATGTATAAGCACATTCCGATAACGGGTGCTTTTGGATCAATTACGGCTATTACACCACCTTCGGTAGGTATGCTTACCTGATCCGCCACGTTGCCATGCGCTTTTGTTATGACACTGATTTGGTCACCAATCATTCGACATTCCAAAATCATAACATTATATCGCAACGTAAGTATAAAGAGCAAATCTTTTTTACTGTCCTATAAAATGTAACACAATTGAGTATATTAAAAAACCATTATTTCCAGAGTTGCACCTAACCTGAGGACGGAAATGCCGCATGACTGATATCTGGCCATTTATATTTACTTCCTTCAACGGACGCAAGCCTTCTGGTGTTACCAAATCTATTTCCAACTGACTGTTGCGAGCGATGATCAAATTTAAATCGGTTGGCGATGTAAAGTTGCCTAGAAAATATATAGTGAAAAAGCATTGATGAATAACCTAGGAGGAAGATGTTGTGTTGTTGTTATTGAAAAACATGCCGGCTTCCCGTTCGGGTAAGCACGCCTTGTAGATTCTGGGCGGGAGAAATGTTCTCAGCAATTAGATTAACTACGCATGTGGCTTCTCCGATTAATGTTAAAATAAGATTTAGTAAGTTTTCAACAAATTAGTATAGCATGCCTAGGACGCGGCATTACCCCGAAATTAGCATATATATTTCGGGACCCGTAGGTTCACTTACCGGTCACGCAACTAACGACCGCTGTCGGCTTCTGCGCCGTAACCACGTAATGATGTGACATTTTTGACGCTATATTTTGCTGCCGCCTCCAATTTGTTTTAAATAAAATTTATAATTTTTTCTCTTAACAGAACAAACAGTATCCAGCTCCTCTTCGCCTCTTGCTTTTTTTCTGTTTTGCAATTACCGATTACAACTCTGGCACCTAGATATTCAGCGCTACTGTGTTGCCACATGTTCCGCTGACATCAAAAACAATTCTGCTTGGATCATCTTTTCTAGAATTTAATGGGAATTTTAAATAAAATATTTATTTATTTATTTATTAGATATCATTAAAAATACTGCAAAACACAAATAAGATTAATAATTTTAAAAGTTATGAGATCTGCAATTCACAATCGAAATCAGTGTTGCAATATTTTTCCTAAATTGTTGCTTTTCCAAAAATTTAGTTACAAAAATCAACTCTGCCTGAAAAGTGCTCTTATTTATACCAAATAAACCCTTATTTTATTATATATATATTAAAGCTTTTGTTTATTATAGTTTTAGTTGTTATGCCTATATATTTTCCAATACACTGACGATTTCATGGCTGTTAAAATAAATAATCCTTTTTTTACTCATGCACTTATTTTGAGAAAGGCCATACTAATAGCTACGAAGTTGTGCAACAGTGCAGGTGGATCCATTCCAGTTTGATACTACGTGTTTGACAATTTCTCATATAATTTCTCGGTGTCTCGTCATTGAGGAGGATTTATTGTAAATTATAGATAATAAATAGATTTGCATATTATTTTCGAAAGTACTAATCGTTGGACAAGCATTTTGCAATAAAAATATTGTAGTTTTTGTTTGCTGAGGAGAGTAGTAACGTTGAGGCTCATCTTCCGTGTGGTGTGGTGCTCGAGAATTTGTGGTAGAAATATGGCTAAACTGACGGACGTGTACCGAGCAGAGGATGTAATCGACGTGGGATACAGGCAAATACCGGTGGTTGCAGGCTCCGGCGATGATTCTTCATTAATGGTGAGTTATTGCAGACGTTCTGCGGCTTTGACAAAATGATGTACTCTAAGCAGAAATAAAATGATGTATACGTAAAGTTAGGTTGGTTTATAGAAATACATATACGGACTGCTACTAATCTGAGTAGGGAAGGTGTGCAACAGCGAATGTTGGTTACTACAACATCTAAAACGAAATTGTATCGTGTTGTTTTATTTGGAGAAAGTGTTTCCATAGTACAAGCACGGACATAGTGAGCAGCTGATTGTGAACCATTGAACCTGTTGATACACCCAAGGGGTGAGGGGTGATAATGCGAGGTATTTTTTTTACTTCTGGAATGGAGAACATTCCTTTGATACGCCACAAATATTTGTGTGATCTTTAATTGTTCAATCGGTTGTACATAACTTTATGTTGCAGACGGGCTGCCAAAACAGGTTCAAAATGAAATATGTACATGGGTATTTATGCACATATATACATATGTATATGTATAGTTGCACTAGCTGCTAACACTAACCCACATGGTAGGGGCTCGAAATATTTTCTATGTACTTGTTTACTCAATGATGGTAATAGTTATCTCTCAAACCCCACTTCATCCCGATAGCGTCAAACTGAAAGATATGTACCTACATTAATAGTTTTCTCTTTTATTGTTATTACAACCATGAGTAACTTCATTTGTTGCATGTTAAACATATTGTACTTTCATTTGCTACTATTAATTTGTTTTTACGAGTTTATTAATATGATCTTGCAATAGTTAGCGATAAGTTTATTATAATAATATTGCAAAGATGCACAAACTTCGTAAAGCTGATTGTTCTATCACTGCTGGAAAGATCGAAATTCGGGTTACGGTAGGATTGCAAAGCAACTGGGAAGAGGAGTGGGCAATCTCGAAGTCTTACGAAGCCCTCTCACCGTGCATGGATTGCTTTGCAGAATACCCGTGTTCCGCAAGAATTTTTGCCAGATTCGTAAAATACTCCTTATATAGTTTAGAAATAAAAGTTATCGTTTGGAATCGCTTAAGAACACGCGGATATAGGAAAAAATCAGAATGAAGAGTCTAGTGTAGTCTCGTCTAAGAAAAACAGTTATTTGTAAATGGCAGAGTTATATGTATGTATATTAGATCGAGGTACAGAGTCAATTAGAAGTGAAGGAGTCAGTTGCTATTGTAACTTCCCAAAAATTTTCGGTGAATGCTTCCTAGTGACATAGAATAGCGACTAGGACTGGTACTATGGACATTTAACGGCCAACGAAAGCGATGTCTTAGCCAAAACACGTTGTCGCTTAGGCATTGTAGAAAAAGTAAAAAACAAATTCTTCATAAACCGTGTTAATGTTTCCACTACTAAGCATCGGAAAGGCTTTTAATCTCATCTCGAAGAAATGGTGGCGAAAATGAAGCAAATACCTTAGCTACCTTGGTTTTTATGCGGCTTTTATCAATATATTCGATATATATGAACATTTTTTTATTTAACTTAAATAGGTGCCGTGGCTTTAAAATAAAAAAAGGATTGTATAGGACCAACAAAGGCATGTTATTCGCTGTAATTTCAGTTTTTAATACTAATAGGATTTATGTATTACCTCCTTAATGTCAAAATAGTTGTCTATCTAATTCTAGGGCTCTTTGCTCGTTGTCTTTAATATCAACTGAAGAAAATCTATCAATCATTAAATTGATTGAATCGTAGTTTCAAAACATCCAATTCCTAACATTTACCACTCAATTTAGGTCAGGTCAATAGGGATTTTTTTTAGCTTTTTAAAAAAACGCATTCGCAATTTTTGATTCCTCGAATCTGGGGGAGATCAGAATCTTCCATGATATGAATGCAAAAACGCAAATTTTTATTGCGGATTTCGGCAAATTATCCCTCCGTTAACAGCATATGTTGATATAACGATTTGAAGAACTACATGATAAGTCAGAATCACGAAAAAATCCGAACTTTGACTGATCATATCTCCGAAGAAAAAAAAAAATCTCGAATGCGTGTTAGCTTATTTCGTGTAAAGAATCCATTAAAAACTTGAAGCGTATCGGAGACTTAAAAATTAATGCCTCATATAGGAAGTGTATAAATTATAATATTATCAACTTTTGCTATATCCAGAAGGATTCTACCTTCTTGCTGTGCCTATTCAACTGGCTAAATTTTTAAAGTAAATTTTTCGTTTTCTGTTTTTATAAAAAGCCGCATAAAAACGGAATGTAGACAAGGTACATTCTTCATTCTCATTACTGATCCATTATTCAAAATTATGTGTTTATTTAAGTGAACTGTGGTGTATATCGAATTGGAAAAGTACATAATTTTATGTTGATAAACAGACACCAAGTTAAATAATTTTCCTTCTTCTTTTTATTTCTATCCTCATCAGATGTTAATGGACTTAAGTAGCAAAGGGCTTTGTATAGATAGTCCACAAATACGTGGAAGAGAGCTTGAAATATTTACACGCAAGTACAAACTCTTATCACCGGAGGAACTGAGACAATCGCTTGAAATAGACAGTGTCACTTTCGTCTCCCTACTTAATCAGTGTGTGCCATGTGTGGGCTGTCGTCGCCGGGTTGAACGTTTATTCTATCAACTAACGCTGTCAGGCCATCCAACTCTAGATCCATTGGTATTAAAGGACACTTGTGTTCTTACTATTCGCGAAGAACGTGTGTGGGCTCCTCAAGCTTTGGGCACGTTACTCTATCGCCATCATGAGGTACTCAGTAATCTACTGGATAATAAACTGCGAAACAAAACCCGATGTGTGTTACATTCGTTGGATGCATTTCGCACGAGACCATTTTCGGAAGTTTGGCGGGAAGTATGGTTCTCAATGAAGTATAATTGTCGCGACGAATTGGCTACGATCGAAACTAAAGAACTGCACGAAGTACTCGAGAACTATTTGAAAAAACATAAGTTTTGCCAGGGTTGTCGAAATAAGGTACATATGTGTTTCGAATTGATAAAAGAATAATTACTAAAAAGTTCAATAATTGACCAGATCGAAAAGGCATACCAAATACTCGTAAACGAAACGACTTGCAAAGAAGGATTCGATGCGGCTTTATATGCTAGCATTAAAAGGCCGCAAACCGAAAAGCATATTCAAATTCTTACGAAAAAGGTTGACTTCCTCGACGCTCTGATAAGGCGCGCCGAGCCAGAAGTTAACGGCAGGTAAATTTATTTTTATTATTAGTAAATATACATATGTACTTAGGAGTAAAATGACAAAACTAGTTTGTAAATTACTTAACGTTTTACTGTTTTGTTTGTGCAGTTATTCAAAGCAGCGCGAGCGTCACGCTAAAACTCTTGAAATCGCGCAGGAGGAAGTACTAACCTGCGTCGGTATGATAATGTATGAGCGACTGCGTCGTATTTATGTCAGTCTACGGGAAGAGGAGCGAGCATGTCAGGTGTTGGCGGCTGTCGGTGTGCATGCGCTGAGCCGAAGCTTTGATATGGCTGTTGAACGTAAACAAGGTATTAGCAACTTGGAATTACTCTATCAGGAGATAAGTCGCGCTGAAAAAGCAAAGGAACTAAGACGTGAACAAAAGAAACTGAAAAAGAAGTTAAAGAAGATGGAGAAAAAGGAAAAGTTGTGTCGAAAATATGGCATAGCCAATGATAGTGCCGATTCTGATACAGCAGAGGCAGATGAGGAGGAAGAGGACGAACAAGAGGAAGATGTCGGCCTGGAAATGGTAGACAAAGCGGTCGATTTATCAGAGGAGCTAAACGAAGAGTTAAATAAATTGGTGGTTATAATGGATGATAATCTACGTGCTGAAACGAACGAAGAATCGATGTCAACAGACAAACGCCATCTTTCAACTGTTGTGGAGTCTAAGTCTGCAGCCCAAAAGAAACGCAAGCAAAAGAAACAAAAAAAGCACAAACAGACTCAGCAAAATGCAAGTGGCAGCAAAAAGAAACCACTTTCACAGGAGCAACATCAACGGGTGCCTACAGTAGAAGAATCGCCGTCGGCAATGTGTAATGCCTATGACAGTTGTTGTGTCATTGATGGAGAGGCTGCAGCTGCCAAATGTGATGTTTGTTTAACACCACAGGATCATTGTCCATGCGAAAATGATGTTCGCGATTCTGGTTATGGTAGTGAGCTATTAACACCAGATAATTCACCCATCACTAGTGCAGCCACTACACCAGAAGGCTCAGAAGTATCGTGTTCTGATGGTTTCTGTAACCATGAAAATGGACAAGATGTTGGGCTAGACGATGAACATAACAACAGCATGTACGATATAGGCAGTGGCTATATGTGGCGAGACAGCCTACTAAACCAGAAGTATGGTGACACGAACTGGCTGAGCTTGCAGCAAATGTTGGTATGTACAAATTTAAAAGCACTTTTTTATTAAATTTAACAACAGTGGTAGATATTTTAAAAATGTGTGAAGAGTTAAAAACCATGCAAAGTTATTAGATATTGCCACATGCGGGAAGGCGTTGCTAATGAACAATTGGCCATGAACAATATTGGAACAACTTTGTTGTTTTTTTCTTTTTTCTTGTGAGCAAAATAGACAGCTTAATATAAAAGAAATTCAACATTACACTAAAAAGTCAACAAAATCAAAGTTAAAGTATAATTCGATTTTATTATAGACTATGTAGAGCTCTCGATTTTGTTCGCACATTTTCAAACAGCCCGGGTATATGAGCAGCGAGTACTCGCACACTTGTTCAATGCTCATTACTCGAAAATTTTAGAGCATGAGCTCGAGCAATTCGAGTTTTTTCGAGTAATTTGAGCAATGTTTTTTTTTATTATATTGACATTTTTGGTAGCAACCAAGGTACATTGAACAGGTAGTATCAGTAGAGCAGCTGATTTGATTTATTTTCAAATTATTTGGTCTCGAAAATGTCAAATATTTTTAATTTTTTCTCACAAAAATTCTGAATTGTTAAAATCCATTTGCATGTGAAACCTTTTTCCATACAAAACAAGCGATTGAATAGCAGCTTTTGGAAAGTTCGCCCAACTCGGCAGCACGACCGCTGATTACTGGGCCTTGCAAAGGATGGATCAATGCTTCGAGAAGCAAACAAATTTACTAGGAAAGAAAGTTGCATCAATTTTTATTTTTTCAATTTCAATTTTTTATTTTTTATAATTTTTTGTATTTCACATGGCACGCTTTGATTTAGAAGAAAAAATTCAGAACAGTTTTTGACACTTTCGATACCAGAAGCAACAACAAAATATACGCAAATGTTGTTTTTGCTCTACTGATACTACCTGTTTAATGTGCCTTGGTAGCAACTTTTAAAATTTTTCAAATTATTGATATATAATGCAAAGATTGTTACATTGGTATTTAATAATATAATTTCTTTAACATGAATTAGAAAGCAGCTGCTGACAAATACAATTTACAAATTTTCTTTTGTTTATGAAATTGTTCAAAAACTCGAAAATTTTGAACAAACATTTGAACAGTTGAGCAATGAACGAGTTTCGAGCGAGTATCGAGCTACTCGCATTGCTCGATACCCGGGCTTAGGTGTCAAAAAATCAATTTTCACTTTTTGGTTGATTCGGATGGAAGATGAGATGCTTTTTCACGTGGTGAAAAGCAGAAAATCCTAAAGCTGATGCCAGATAAAACTTTGTAGCTTTGCGTGACATTTATAACTTTGCCAGCAAAGCGCCAGACGCAAAAGGTATGCCACAATGAACGCCAAGAAAGCAATTTTGTACCGCTGTTTTACTCGGTAAAAGTTGCTGTGGATTTTATATATTTTGCTTTAAAATTATCAGCAATGTAATTAAGTTTTATGTTTCTGCATGAAAACCCGAATTTGGACGAAACAAAATATAAATATTAAACCGGCTGATTGTCAAAGCGCGCAAAAAGATGGGAGTTGGCCATCTTTTCGCTTCGCGCTGCAGCTTCAACGATTTATGTGGCATGCTTTGTGCATTTTCATACAATTCATCTTATCTGTCAAAGCGAATCTGTCACGTAAAGCGAAGCAAAAGTTTTATGTGGCATCAGCTTAACTTGCTTAGAAGTGTACTAAAAATGTAGAGAAAGAAGAGTAAAAACGAGTAAACGAAACGAGTTGCTTACTTTTAACCAAGGCACATAAATACAGGTAGAAGCCAAAATGACGTTGCTCTCATGAGAACCAAACCTTTAAACCATCGTACAGTTCCATAAGTAAAGTAACTCTTCTTCTTACCGTTTTTTCTGGCAGGCTGTAGGTGTGTTTTTGGCAGGCTGTAGGTGTGTTTTTGGTTATTGTATTGGTGTTTTTGGTTCAGTGTGTTAGTGTATTTTGAATAAATTGTAATAGAAATAAATGAAATTGTAATAGAAATGAAAGAAATTGTAAAAGATAAGAGCACATGCCAAAAAACAGGTGATCTCAGCTGTAGGCATATTTTGGCAATCAGCTGATAGTGTTTTTACTTATGAAACTGTACGATGCTTTAAACTTCAACTTGTTTTTTTTTTTGTTTCCTATATTTCGTTACGCTTTGAATGTCATATCGTGGTTTTTTTTTGAATGTTCGTTAATAACAAATTTTAATTTGCATTTGAATTTTTGTAGTGTTGTGCGGTTTATACTTAGTGTATGTGTTAAAAATGCAACACCTGAAGCGTTGTTTTTTATGTGGTGTTAAATATAAGGCAGATACCACTAATTTTTTAACGTGCCTCAATGTCCTTCGCGTAAGGAACGTTGCGAAAGCAGCTGTGGGCAGAGCTGCAGTGAAATGCCTTGCTGTGCGTTAAACATTTTAAAGAAGAAGATTCCACAAATACACCGGGAGGTACAGGAAAGGCACGTTTGAAGCCAAGTGCTGTTCCTATGACCCTTATGCCGAAAAGTCCCTCCAACAACACTGCAACTCATAAAACAAAAACAGAAAACAACATACACGTTTTATCAAATTTTAACTAAAGAAAATAAATAAATAAGAATAAACTTCAAATAAACTTAAAAACGTCAACCAGTGAAATGTATTTTTTTATTTTTCCTTACACACGCTCATTTTTATTTTTACTCTCCCGAAAACTTTGACTTTTGTAGATTTGACGTCAAATTGGCTTCTACCTGTTTTATTGTACTATGACTTTTAACAGCTTTTTCACAGAAAACTAGTTTTCGCACGTAAGCTCCCTTTTCGTAGACCAGGTCACATATATATGCGAGCACTAAAATAGTAGTGTGCACTTACGGTTAACATATTTTTAAAGTACTAGGGCGTGTGTGAATCGGTAACAAAGTTCTATGGGGAAAGCTGTTGAATAATATTTTTACTATGGTGAGACAGTTTTCCCAATCTGCTGTGTGAAGTGAAATATTTTTTGACAGCAGTAAATTTTTGATAACCGCAGATTTATTTGGAATAAAATATTACAAATTGAAGTGAAATGAATATTTTAAGAAAGCATCTACCATCGTTGATTGCAATTCATCTATTTAAGCTTTTATTTAACGAAAAATTACACACAGAAACAAACTTTGCGATTGTCAAAATTTTCTATGCATTTGTCAAAAATTTCACTAGCCTCATTTTATTCACCTCATAGTTGTCAAAAATTTACTCGACGCGAACTTTGTTACCGATTCACACACGCTCCTAGAAAACCAAAATAGTTGCATTCATTATATTGAAAAACTGAAGGACAATTTCATAACTAAATGTGTGGTCAAAAGTGTTTTATTTACATAAACACTAAAAAAATTAATTCATGTAAGATGTGTTTTCATGAAAACTACTGCGAGCAGCAAAATATTAGAAAATAACAAAAAGTTTTAAATTTGTATTAAAATGTTAATATTAATACTAAAATTTAGCACAATTACTGTTGTTTTTAATCACTGCTACATAACGATTTCTCTTGGGAGTCTACGAGGCGTTGACATCTTTCCTGAGGTATTGACTGCCATGCGCGGCCCATAGTTCGTGGCTATTTTTTGGTTTTAGATCCCATACGGGTTTCTTAAGGTTGGTCTAAAGGTTTTCTATAGGATTGAGGTCAGGAGATTGAGCTGGCCACTCTATGACTTCAATTCCGTTGTCCCGAGACCACAATTTTGCTAGCTTACTTGAATGCTTCGGGTCATTATCACAATTAGGAACGAACTGTGAACACCCCAAATATCATTTTGAATTTTGCTATTATCATTTTGGGCGCAGCTGTTTATGCATAGATAAGCACAATATATGCATGATTCAATAATTAAAGGTTAGGTAGTACATAGTATGTATGTATTTGTGTCTTTATTCACAATTAAAAAGTCATATTTTAATTTAGTTTTTTTGTTTTTTTTTTTTTACAGGATAATGTCGACGAGTACGATGATGATGAAGAAAACGGTTACATTCCACAAGAAGTGGTTCTGGAGTATCAATGCCAACGCGAAAAGGTGGAGCAGCAACGTCTAAAATTGCGCGAAACTTTAAGGCAGAATTTTGCGCGCTTGTGTAAGCAGCATAAAAGTGGCAAATTGCCTGGCAGCAACACTGTCAAATGCAGCTCATCAGGACCAGCTTGCATCTAAATGCTGCAAAAGTGATTACGCGCTGAGCATAAAGCAGTCTGATAACTGCATAGCAGTCCTTAATAATGCATAATGTGTTGCAAATCAAGAATGCTTAAGTACATTTTTGAATAATTATTATTGTTTCTGCAAATATATATTGCAATTATTTAAAACTATACAAATACATTACGTTTTTCTTTATTGTGTTTAGCAATTACGACACTCCTCGTGAAAAGGCTCTAATGTTCGCAAATCACGCCAGGTTGGCGGCAAGCCGTTCGAAACGAATTTGCCACATCGTTTACATGCCTCCAAGAAAAGCTTACTGTAGCTGTGTAGCCATGTCTGAAATTATTCATAAAAGGCATACATATATTTGTATGTTTTTTTAAGTAAATTGTATTTACCATATAGCTTTTAATTGCCAAATCAGGCAAGGTAGGCGAGAAGAAGTGCAACATCGCAATGTGTGTATGTTCTTGCACTTTACGGAATACTTCATATCGTGATTCCGTCCACAAATCGTCTGGGTCCAGCGTTTCATCGAATCCCTTGACTGTTACCCACTCAATCAGAACACCCTTGCAAACGATGGCTGCCTTAAGCACACGACTAATTGTAACCTAAAGGTGGCGCTAATCTTTTATTTCCACCTTGTTTGGTTACCAACAAATACTTACAATTACAACAACGTTAGAACCGAATGGACGGCAAACTTGATAGCTTGTCAGCGGTAAATTTATTTCACTCAATAGCTTATCTGTGTGACTAAATAAATAAAGAAGAAAACGTTCATAAACTCCTAAGCTGACCTTGCCTATAGTTCCACCGCGAATAAACTTACTCCGGATCGGTATTGTTACATGACGTAAATGGTATGCGCCCACGCTTCTGCGAACAGTATGTGTATGACCTCCGGAGATTGTTTTGGTTGAGGTTGTTAAAAGCCAAAAAACTGTGGTCATGAACCTTATCGATCCACTTGTAGCTATTCACGAGTTGAGAATACAACGCTTGTCGATCCGGGGCAGTCTCTTGTGCGAGATAAGTAGTTTGGCCTAAACAGTAAGGTGTTTGTGGTGCTTGCAAGCCGTTAATTAAACTCTCGACTTCCCTATTTTCATGTACAATGAATGAGACAAATTGTAGCATTAGTCCTATGCATATTTTACCTTAATTGAGCATTCATGTTGTTAAAATTCTCCTGGAATTTGAGGAGAAACTTGGTCCGGTTATCCTCAGCCAATTCGGCACTGGTGCCATCTGCCAAGTGCTCGAAGCATTGTCGAACGCTAGAACGCAGAGACCTCACGGCCCCCAGCGTCGAGTTAATCTTCTCCATCCTATCCAGTTTCAGGCTTGGTATATTCTGAATCTTGGCGAATTTATTTAATGTCGGTAAAGCAAAAACTTGTTTATTTACTATATATTAGACGGTGCGAAAATATTATAGGGTAAAAATGTTTCCAAGCAAAAGAATGCACTACAAAAAATCAAAGTGCAACACAGTAGAGGCTAGTAATTTGCCGAATAGTCGGTACCCAATACTTAAAATAGATTTCGGTACCCAATACTTCCCTTTCGGTACCCGATACCGATTCTTTACATTAAGCCTTTGCCATAGTTCTTTATTAATTTATATGATATCGGCTAAAACACTTGAACTTATAGCAATTCTGATGATATGTTAACGTATATTTCAAACGCACTCTGTTTATTCCGGCTGGGAAATGGAATTATCCGGAATGTGTAAAAATCGCAGCCTTCTTAATAGTATTAACTCAGCACATCACTAGCAGAATCAAAATGAAATCATCGAAACTCTCATTACATATATCGATAATTTGCGTAATTCCCGAAGCCATGTTGCTGACTGTCTTATGAACGCTTTACAGCGCCATATCTTAAATTTGAAAAAAAAAAATCGACTCATGCTTTAAGAAACTTGTTATATTTCGATTTAGATTCGATCGGCTTATCGACAGTGCCGATTAACGCTTAATGCTACAAAATCGATATTACTTTATAGTATCGGTAGTTTTCCGCCTCTATGGCACAGAGTTGCAAAAACGTTCATCATACAAAAAGTTATTTGATTGATTCACAACGGTGTCGTAAGTGTCGCATTGTTGTTTGTCGTAAACTTTAAAAGCTTAAATAAATGTTTAGAAAACCTGAAACCACAACCAACTATTTTCTAGCACTGCGAAAATTCATAATATGACTTTGATAGGACCTTGCGAACTCCCTTAATATATTTTTTATGCGTTTAAAGTTTACGACACACAACAAAACGACACTTACGACACCGTTGTGAATACCCCAATTCAAAACTTCAAAAAATGATGTATATTTAACCAAAACGTATATCGTCGATGTTTTTGCAAAACCGCCCATCGACCAGTTGCAAAACCGCCTAAATCGCCATTGTGACAAAAATGAGATTTGGTAACCCTGAACTCCAGGCATCGAGATATATGCATAAGAATCGTAAAATCGTTATTAAAACAACAGATTTGTAAAATAATAGCTAGAGAAAATACCGCCTATCAGGGCAATGCCTTCAAAAATTAGACCGTTTTTTCAGTCTCCTGTAAAATTTGAGTGCCGTAAGATAGGCGGTTTTGCAATTGGTCGATGGGCGGTTTTACAAAAACATCGACAACATGTATGTAATTGTGTATGTAGACAATTTTTTAAAGGAAAGCAATGCAAAATACAACCATGCATTTATCTAGTTCTACAACCGTGCTTTTAGTTATATTAAATTTGATCTAGAATTGTAACCAAATCGTTACTTTGCACTGTTGACACTGGTTTAAAAGAGGCATAAAAATAGAACAGGGAATTTGTCAAGATTATCTATCAGTTAGTAAATGCTAATGTTACATTTTGAAACTGGATGGAAATCTTTAAAAACTTCAAGCCAGTGGAGTTGAACAATTTAAAAGCAGCTGTGTTTTAAAGTGTAATTTAAAATTGTCGTTAACAATTACAAATCCATTTTTATTAACACATATGCAATGTGGTTTCCCTTTGGCTTTGACATGTGTTGTCATATTTATTGTATGTAATTTATGTATATTTTTTATTTGGTTAAAAATTAGAATAAACAAAAAATGTACGTTTTTTTTTGCCGAATTGACGATTTTTCGAGGGTAAAATGACGATTCTTCCGCAACACTGCTTCATATAAATTTACGTTCTTTGATATTGTCCCTTCTTATAAATTTACCTTCTTTGACAATATTAAATACTTGTAAAATAAAAAAAAGTTCCCCATAACAATTTTTTAATTAACTAGGGTAAAAAAATACAAACTATGGCAGCACGACGCAAGAGGCCGTCAAGTTCAGCTGTTCGATGATAGTTGCCAAGGTGTATTTAAATACGCCTTGATAGTTGCCGAAAGATCAACATACATAAATACATACATACGTCAGTTGTTGCGAAGTAAACTATTAGTTGATTTTATTTTTCCATTGGCAATAAATTTTATTTATTGGACGTTATTGAATAATCATAATGGGCAATAAGTCGTCACTGCTGCTGCGTCCAGAGGAGATCGCGCAAATTCAGGAAGAGACGGGTTGTAAGTAAATACGAATTGATCAATGAATGCAAAATAATCAAATTGTCGAATAAATTCTTTGTTCTTTGATATAATTCAATCATTAGCAGATTTAATCCCGGTCTTCTTTTAGTGGTTAAGTTGTTTATTTTCTGTTTGAAAATAATGGAAAAATGTTCAATATGTACATAGTGTGTAGTTGCACTTATCACGTGATGTAAACAGTAAGTGCATCATATCTTGCTTAGGTGTTGTATTTTAATTTTTGCAATTTTGGAGCACGAATTTGACGTCACAGAGTCCAATGTATGTACATATGTACATTCAATCGTTAATACTTCATTTTTTTCATATATACATATTTTCTTTAAATATTTACGAAGTTGTGGATCAGTTATATATGTTAAGTGCAAGCAATTATCATGGTTGTGCGATAAACGTTAATAACATAGTTAATTTTCCTGTCCGTCTTAGTATGTATGTATGTATGTCTATATTTTGCAGATTAGTTATCTGTTTAAATTTCGTAATTTCAACATCGCATCGCATGATTAGATAAATATAATTGAACCTTATTAAATTTTCATCAGAGTAATTAAACCAGAAACGTTCTAACTTTCAGTTACGTCAAATCAAATAGAACGTTTGTATTCCCGTTTCACTTCATTGGATCGAGGCGATTGTGGAACATTATCTCGTGAGGATTTTTTGCGCATACCCGAACTAGCCATCAATCCACTTTGTGAGCGCATTGTACATGCCTTCTTTGAAGATAGCACTGATGATCGCGTAAATTTCCGGCAATTCATGAATGTGTTGTCACATTTTCGACCAATTAATTCGAAAAAGGAAAATGGCTTGAATAGCCGTGAAGAGAAGTTAAAATGTGATCAAATGGTCAAGCATGACGTGCTTAATATTAACTTTCAAACGTCATTCACTTTCAGTTGCATTCAAAATGTATGACCTAGATGATGACGGTGTCATAAGTCGGGATGAGCTGTTGAGTATTCTCCATATGATGGTCGGAGCAAATATCAGTCAGGACCAGTTATTAAGCATAGCCGAACGCACAATCCTGGAAGCTGACTTGTGTTGCCAAGGAAAAATTTCTTTTGAGGACTTTTGTAAAGCTTTAGAACGAACTGATGTTGAACAAAAAATGTCGATTCGTTTTCTTAATTAAATTTGTCTACGTTCTGAGTAGAGCTATTATCAAAAAATAGCTCCTGATGTGCATTAAAATATTAAGAAAGTTATATTCGCTCTCTGCAGCAAATGCGTTTATTGGAATTCTGTTGTGCATGAACTAGTAACGTATGTACTTGCACATGTAGTATGTGTGAACGCAGTTATAGGAATAAAGTAATAAGAACTCTTAAAAAGCAAATACTTCTAAAAATGCTAATATTTCAAGATTTGCATTTTATTTGGTCTGGGAGATGTATCTGAGAGTAAACAAAAACCACATATCGCACACCATCTTCAAAAGAGTCACAACTCAAAATTTGACATTTTTGAAATTATGCAGTAAAAATGTACACAGAGCTTTTATATACCTTGCAGCAAAAGCTGGAGCAAATTGTTGTTATTATTTGTTTAAAAAACCTAAGGTAAAGTCGCCCTTGCCTATATGATTAGCATGTGCAACGAAATAGGGTTTCGCATTTTCTGACGAACGTATTATTTTGAGTTGTGACTCTTTTGAAGACGGTGTGCTATATGTACATATGTACGTTTATACATATCTGTGGCCATAAACAATAACCGCCTAAGTCGAAAACCCGATTTCGAGAAAAAACGTTTTAAAAACCAGAATAATATTTTTTATCTTCGTCTATAACTTTTTAAATAGCCTGGCTGGCGAGATGGGCATTTCACATACACATGGAATAGTAGTTGCAGAATACCATAGCATACTTATATAACTCAATTCTTTCCTAAGTCGACTTAGGCGGTTGTTGCTTATAACGACAGATATAAGCTATCTGGTAAATACTACTAATACCAACCTTCGATTTCTGCCACTACCATCGATGATAAGAGTATGATTTAATTTGAATGTTATAATATATTTAAACATATGTTTTTATAGATACAATCGTAATTATTTATGTCGACAAATGCTGCAGCATTACTTATGTATTCCTAAAAACCGATTGATCAGCGCCTTAAACTTTGAGTAATACAACGATAAACGCATCCAAAGAATTACGATTCAAGTTGTTGAGGAGACTGCAAGCTTTTTAAGATGCTCCATAAAAAGCTGTAGCGATACATCGTCAGTCAGCACTGGAGCACCACCATCCTATATAGAATTTGAAATGAAACAAGGTTTTATAAAATCATACAAAGAAGAACAATATAATTTTTTTTTTACAAATTGTTTTTGTTTTGCATGTTAAATTATGGGAACGATTTATTCACATGGAATTGGCAATAAGGCTGATTAACAAGTGAACAAAAGCAATAAAAGTGTGTTAAAGCATAGTGAAGAAAGCAATAAACTACAATACACCAAAGAAAAATCCCAAAGCAATTTTATTATTATTATATGTAGATTCTTCTTAGACCTTCGACGGCCAAGGAGTAGCAAAAACTGTATTATAACATAAAAATCATACCGTAGACTGGCCGATTGGTGACTACATTTTCGGCATTTTTGCAAACATTCAATCCATCGGCAATGACAATTTAACAACAGAGACGAACGAACACACGTAAAAGAAAAATAATTAAATTAAATTAAAATTAAATGGAAACTTTAACGAATAAACACAATACGCGCAAGCTTAAGCGCAAATCAAAAGGAACGCATCGCAAATTAACTGTTGTTTATCGAACTATTATGTTCATATGCATGCACATACTGTGCATAATTGTGTAACACTCACCTGCCCATAGGCGTACATGTTGTTATGCGTCTGCGAAGGATTTACTTTGGAAAGTAAGAAACGAGCTTGCGATCCTCCATGCTCGGTATCAATGTAACGCGGCATGGGAAAACGTGTCTGTAAAATCTCCTGAGCATCATCCACTGGTGCTTGCAGCAGCTGCTTGAAGTTCTCATATTCCGCCATGTCTTGATACTTGAGGGCTCGCCATTGTGCGATTGTTTCACCGTGATAAATAAGAATCTGGAAGAATGTGTCCATCAGCAGAATACGGTCGGGCTGTATGGACGATGTGTCAAGCAACACTGGTTCTGGAGGACCATTAAAGGAGTAACTGTATAGAATTGGCTGTATCATAATTAGCGACTGGGTGAGGTCCTCGCGCATAAGCATGTGCCGATAGAATGTGGTCTCGTCCGGCGAGTTGTTGAAGACTTGCAAGAATTGCGAACGGCGCAGATGGTACATAAACTGCGGGAAAAGGCTGAAGTTTTGCGCCAAGCGGAAACTGTTCGGATCATCCTTGCTATATTCACCAAATTTCTGGCACTGGTTTTGCAAAAAAAAGCTCTTAAATTAGACATTCTACAAAATATATCGTTACCTTAATATAGAATGGCCCTATCTAAAAATTTTGTTTCTTTACGGAGTAATGAAAAAACTCCTTACAAAATCAAGTTTTTTTTTGTTGCGAATTTTTTTTTTAATGCTGTTTTTATTTAAGAATGTAAATAATTTCATGTTGTAGTAGATATTTTTAAAATCCTGGAGATGCTTAGAGAGTTATCGGCAGACTTTTGTGCAATACTCAATTTGAGAGAAAAAAAAATGAGTTGAGGCCTTTCTATATTAAGGAAACGATATGGAAATTAAGCTATGTGTTTAGTGTGTACCAAACGAATAAGCTGTCGGTCCACCCAACGCAATATATCTGGCCCTTCATCTGTTTCAGCGCGGTAGACAACCATGCGGGCCATAATAACTGCTGCCGCTTCTTGGTCAAAACCTGCACTTATGTACGGTAAATTAGTTGTCGCGTCTGCCCAGCTAAATTTATGTAGAATTCGTATACACATTTATATTACAATATGTAAACAAAAGTAAATGTTTATTACTTTCTTGCCAATGTCGTTACACGTATACGACGTTGTCCATTTGCGTGCTGATACTGAGTTATGAACTGAATACATCCCCGTCCTCCCTGTGGCATAGGGGCTGCATGCTGGTTAACCACTTCGAAAAAGAATGCCGTCGTGGAACTTGGATTCAGTGTACACATCTTCCATTGCACCGTATTGCCCATGCCGATCTCCACATCCGACACCGACGAGCTCTTCACATTCAGCGACACACACGAGCCGATTCCGCCCGAGATTTTTAGCTCGCGCGAGCACTTCACTTCCAGTGTGCCATTGAATGCCATTTTCAAATCCCCGCGTGCATCTCGTGCAAACACTCGTTGGAATGTTTGTTTGAAAAGTGACGAGTTGAACGAATCTCCTAATACCATATGACCGCCAGTAGAATTGCAGCATTGTTTCATCTCCATAAGACCGCATTGATCTAGAGCACATGAGTAAATATCGATGCAGTGGCCATTGGTAGCAGCTCTTAGAGCCAAGGCATCATAGTGCTTAATTGCCTTTTTCATAAAACGGGCATTATCCTTTTGAATGTCATGATGCGAACGAATTGGATGTTTTAGTTCATCGTCGACCACTTGGCCGGGACCCTGGGAGCAAGGTCCACCGACAAAGGTCAGGATGCGACCACCTGTATTGGGATAAGTGCATTCAAGAAGACCCACGGCAATCGCCAATGCAGCCCCAGTGGAACGCAAGTATCGCTTGCCCTGCGGTACTGGCCAAGGGTCGCGCTGCAATTCGCTTAATAAGTCGCCCAGAGCAATGTCACATTTGCTAATGGGCTGGAGGAACCGATTGGCTGCAGGTACAGCAGGCGCTGCAGTATTCGCGGCACCTGGTACTCGTTGTTGACCCGGCATTGGCTGTCCCGGTTGGCCAGGTACACTTGCAGGTCCACCAGTTTGCCTACCTATACCCAACATATCTTGCACTTGCTTTGCAGTTAGATCCTTGGTGCCGCGAAAGACATAGCTCTTAGAGCATCCTTCAGCACCCAATTCGTGCACTTGAATCATTTTGCCGAAAGTGATAAGCCCAACTAAGGCATTGGGAGGCAATAAACTTAACGACATTTGTAAAGAATCTTTTAGGGCATCTAATTCTTCTTCATCCATGCAAGTATCTACGAGAAATATGAAAACCGGCGGCATGCATGGAGCACGTGCAATCGTATATTCGATTGTGCTAAATCCAGGAATTAATTCAGCGGGTTGATGCTGCTCTGATATCGCTGCATATTGTGGAGGAAACTTTTTTGGAAAATAAATCAGTTAAATCAATAGTTTTTACGGTTGAATTATGAGCTCACCGGATTACGTTGGAAACAAAAGTTGCACACCCACAGTTTTGCACGGTAATCTACTTGACAGAGGGGATTAAGTATTGCCCGACAGTTAGCGCGTGTACACAAAACCGGCTCGTATTGTATAGGTGGCAGATCCGGACGTTCTTTCAGTGGCTGGTATAGGCAAGCAAGTGGCACAACCAGGCGACCAGCGTCGATGCGACTTGAAGGCCAAACATTCCAAGTAAGACGCACACCGTCGCGATCCTCATTCTGCTGAATGAACTCTTCGTAGGTCGTCATCACAGTTGAGGACGACTTATCCAGAAATCCTTTGTTCCTTTACACAAAAATCAAATTAGATTTCCTCCGACAACCTTTTTAAGTCCACGTCACAATCATGTCAAATTTTTGACAAGTCGCGTCTGTCTACTGCCACTGTCAGTTTGGCTAGATAAATCCAGATAACCGTTGGCTTTGTTTCTTTTCTTTTTAGCAGATAATTATTAGCAAGAAGAAGAATGGGAAAATTGAGAGAATTACGCTCACAGAAAGCGAAATAACGAAGAAGTAAAGAAACGCAAAACTAGCAGAAACTGCAGATCGGTGTATTTGACTATTGAAAATATTTAGCGCGAATTTTTGATTATTCATTTTGACAGCTCCTAGTTTGTGCTAGTAAAAATTTTACTAGCAGAAATTAGCAGGAGAGCCAAAAAAAGCGTAATAACAAGAGTGTTGTCAGTATCTGGTAGTTTTTTGGGTTGAGAAACGCTTTCAGCAGTGATAATTTGTGATAATTATCTGTTAAGGAACAAAGCTGTTATCTATGAAACTTATTAGGGGTCTTCATCAAAAGTGATAAACTCTTAATAAACTTGATAAGTGATAGATTTATCATTTTGATAAATGAATTGTCAAACTTTGTATGGAAATCTTTTTAACCAAAGTTTATCAATTTATCAAACGACGGCTGAGATTTTCATTACGGAACTAATAGCTATATAATTTAAAGTACATGGAATTTTTTTTAGAAAACTCGGTGGTGATATTAGCTTTGTTCCACACGCTTTCCGGGCTGCTCCAGTAATTAGAGCGTAAAAACAAGTTACTCTCTTACAAGTGTCAAAAATGTATCAACACGTGCCAAAAGTGCCCAGAGCGTGAGGAACGCAAAAAAACACATTTCGTGAATTTTTCCGGAATTAACATATCGGCACTAAACAATGATTTTACTTGTATTTATCTTAAATAGCTAAACAAATAACCAAATATCTTCATTTTGTGAAAATTCGGTGATAACGGGTGATTTTTTAAGAGCTTGATACCTTTTTTTTTAAAAAAAACGCATAAAATTTGCAAAATCTCATCGGTTCTTTATTTGAAACGTTAGATTGGTCCATGACATTTACTTTTTGAAGATAATTTCATTTAAATGTTGACCGCGGCTGCGTCTTAGGTGGTCCATTCGGAAAGTCCAATTTTGGGCAACTTTTTCGAGCATTTCGGCCGGAATAGCCCGAATTTCTTCGGAAANTTGTGTTTATAAAATTTGCTTTCGGATTTAATCAACAACAACAGCTATTATTTCAAATTGCCCTTTTGTGCCGGGAAAAAAGTTTCACGTGCAAAATTACAGAGAGTTGGCAGCGTTGTTAGCCGAGTTATGCTCCCCAATAATTTGAAGTTCCCTCCAGATGCCGCCTCGAATTGTCCACATTTGACTTTTCCACCAGAAGAGGACGGGCTTGCTTGTTTACAAAAATCTCGAACGAGTTCTCAAGAACGATCACCAAAGAACGATTTAATTTACGATTTAAACGATTTAAAGAACGATTGTAATGTAAATATGTGCAAAAGCTGCTTGCTTTCTTTTTCGTTTAATTAATTAATTGGAAATGGGAATTACAGTTACAAGAAATGGGATATTATATGGGACCAAATGCCAGTGTTTATCACCCTATACTTCCTTTAGTGCATTCCAGTGAACTCCGGTAGTGCATTCCAGTGGAAGTTTTATGATCTATCCCTGTTCTGACATTCATTCTTGTTTTTGTATTTTTTTTTTTTTTTGACATTTGACGTTTTGTGTTTTCTAAGATGGCGACGAAAAAAACGCGTCTTTTGTGAATGTAATCACAACAAATTAAAATTAACGCGATTAAATGTGAAAAAAATTGCATGAAAAGTGTATAAAATAGTAATTAAACAAGTGCTAAACACTTTGTGTGTGAAATTGTGTGCAAAAATTAAGTGAAAATGGCCACAAATATGTATCGGGTTGGAGGTAAAAATTTTCCATTTTCTCTCCTGCGTTTTGTACCTTGTTCGTGTCTTTCGGCGCTGGCGCTTTTTACCGCCGCCGCCGCCGCAATTGCTGCTGCTGTTGCTGTCGTTACTGGCGCATTTGCTGGTACCGCTGCCACTGCCGCTGTTGCGCGGTGGTGCACTCCGTGCGCTTTTGGACTATGCTGATATCGCTGTCATCGTGGCAGTCGCTTTCGCTGTCACGTCGCAGTGTTCGTTTCGTCTGCGACGTCCAAAACTGCATTTTATGCATTTATGGCTTGCACTTGTATTCTGTGTATAAGATTAAATAAGAAATGTGCAAGGAGGTGGCATACTAAAATCTTTAATGCTATGCTATGTTGAATTATCAGCTGGTATACCGAATCCGCTTAAGCTTAATACTTAATGCAAGAAATTACACATGTACATCTACTATGAACTTTTCCATTTCTGTAGTATAAATTTGTCTATCAAATGTTTAAAGATCATCGATTAAGGTAAACTTGCATATCTAAAATAAGCTTTGGATAGCAGGTGAAAATTTGCGACTTGAATTAAACGCGTTATGGACGTTTTTTTTTTCTAAATTCCATTTAATGTTGCAATGGGCACTTTTAGTCAAATGATATTCAAATAATCAATGCGTTGTGTGGTCCAGTCACTGCCAATCTTATTGCCTTATGTATGTGCTGCAGCATAGATAAATAGAGAAAGTTCATGATATACATATGTATGAATGTATGTACATGCGTTCGTTCATGCATTCGTTCGTACATACATATGTACATACGATATGTGCATATGTACGTACATTTCTTTACATATGAGTGTAGTAATGTATTTAATTGTAACGACATAAGCAAAATTCCGAAATATAAAACATTAATTAGTGTTATATCCGTGTTTTCCTCTCAAACTAAACGCATTGTCTATTTGATAAGACCAACAAATTATTTTGTTATAAAACAGGTTTCCATTTCTAGGCTCAACAATGCATTTATGAAAAAGAGTAAAAGAATTGCTATCATTAGCTCAAAGTTTAATCCAAGTGGAACAAGTTTATACCGCTGGTTTAACTTTAGAAATTTATTTATTTTACCAAAAATTTCCTAAAGCTTTGGATTTTTATGCGACAGTCTTCCAAAACGATCAGGACCCAATTGGTGAGCTTGTTAGTTAACGGTGCGCGCTGCTCTTGCTGCCATTATGCCATGTGGCATATATACATACGCATAAGAGTATATTCTGTATGCATGCATGTGTGGTCGAGTACTTGTGATTATAACCACTGCGGGAAGACTAATTTATATTTTCCACTTGTTTGTTGCTTAGTCTGCTTATGAAGCTTGCGTTCTTTTCATTTTTATGTCTGATGTTTCTTCTTTTATAATTTTACATTGCACAAATGTATGTACATTTTTGTGTATATGTGGCTACCTTCTCTGGGCATCTTATAAAGAACGATTGGAGAAAATTTAGTGCACATGTGCATGCATAGTTATCCAAATAACGTTTGCTGCAATCGACCACATCAATAACTTGTTGTTGTGGTAGCAGCTTTCGCTCAGAACAGTTAATCCACACATCCAATAGAGAGCCTATGTAACGAAAGGTGAGGGCTTTAGATAGATGTGCTCCTCAGTATTGCAGTTCAATCGCATCTTCATCTTCAGAAATCCTCTCTTTTGCGAAGTAATGTACAATAAAATTCAAATTAAACATACAAAAACGCCAGTTACAATATGGTTTATTAAGATCATAATTGCAATTTATACGTGTCCCCACACGAGAGTAACATAAATATTTCTTCAACAGCAGCAGCAAGTGCATTCTGATTCAAAGGACACACATGTGGTCTTATGTTATTACCTAACATTTGTTCGATTTATGCCATCAATTATATTTATTTTTCTTTTATATTTCAGACTATGTCTATGTAGAGACAAATCCAAATAGTCCGTTTTTAATACGACGCATAGAAGAGCTAAATAAAAACCAATCCGGCAATGTGGAGGCGAAAGTTATGTGCTTTTATAGAAGGCGCGATTTGCCAAATCCACTGGTGCAACTGGCCGATAAACATCAACGTAAGTTAATCAATTCTGTTAAATGTACATTCCTAACCTAATTATTGTCACATACTAAGTAGAGTACAGCATTCATAGAGAACATTTTCCCTATCTTCCTTAAACACTACTTTTTACATTTTATATTTATTTTAAAGAATACTAAACAAATGTTTGCTATTAAATATTATGCTATGAGCCCACAACTTGAACTTTCAATAATAGCACATGCTAATCTCGTTCTGCGAGGGTTTTTATCACATTATCATTTGCTATTATATTTAAAGCTGTTTAATTTTTTTACCGTCAAGACAATATAAAAATTTCCTATAATACGAAACAATCCATGCAAAATTTGCACATTTTCAATACGGCTGATGAAAATACAAACATGCATTTAAATAGGGCTCCTTATTTATTTATTTATTACGTATTTGAGTAATCAAATGGTAGGACGATCGAGCTATTTTATATGTACATATATATATTAGACCTCGTCTAATAAGACAACAAAAAAAAACAAACGCGCAATGCGGCCCGCATAAGACTCAAATTTTAGTATTTGGTATAGTAATGATCCTCTATGAATCTCCCTTCTCTAGGAAAATTGTTGTTTTTGTTGTTGTAGCGGCTCCTAAGCCCCGTTCGGGGCGGTTCATCCATCAACGTTGTCGTCAATTTCAGCTAGGGGGAGGCCCAGGAAGTGCGCAACTTCGACAGGGTCTGTCCATAAGGGCAGGGGCGTTAGCTGGGTGGGATTCTCGGAGCATGTGAAGAGGTGCCGAGAGTCATGTGACGACTCTCCACATGCCGGACATTGGACATCTTCATTAATTCTGCTCAGGTATGAGTTTAGCCTGCTGCAATAGCCAGAGCGAAGTTGGGCTATTGTGTGCGGTTGTGTGCCTAGAACGGCATTCACAGGGCGGGAGTCTACATAACTTGAGACTGATTCCCTGTGAATGCCGTTCAGAAAAATTGTAAGAGGTCCTGCGTCAAGCATTTAGTTTTCCCAAAGGAATTACCGTAAGAATATGACTTCTTTCCTTTTGTGGTCAATATAAGTTTCTAGGATCAATGAAAACGCTCGAATAAAGCTACAGAGGCATTTTATAGTTGCGATCCCGTACTAGTCCGAACTAGTCAGAATCGGTCAGATTTTACTGGAAATCGATCCCGTACTTGGTTCTCTGACTATTTAGAGGGCAAAAAAGAGAGTAAATACGGTGTCAGAAGTTACCAGTTTTAGTCCGAGAATGTTTTGCTGGTAAATTCTGGTAAATTGTGTTTGGCAACCAAATTGTAAACAAAAGAAAAGTGCACTCTGCTAATTCATGTTGAAAAGTATTTAATTACTTGTTTAAGTGAATTCTAATGAATTTGAAAGTATTTTTGGTTATTTACATGTGTGAGCTGAGTGTGTCTACATACAAAATAAGCAAAAATTTACAACCAAAATTTGGAGGTTATGTTGAAGTTGACAGAAGTTACCATTTTTTACTAGAAAGCGATCCCGTACTTTTCAATGTTATTCTCTAGCTCTGACCGAATTTTCATTTTTTGACAGTTTTACTAGTCCGAGTCCGAGGAATACGGGATTGCACCTTATGCTTGCTTAGTGAAACATGCACAATGTCATCGAAGCTTGGGTACTTGTTGTTGTTGTCATAGCGGCTGCAAAGCCCCGCTCGGGTCGGTTCATTCGTCAACGTTGTCGTCCATCGAATAACGTTTGATGGATTTCGCCGACCTAAACAGGGGTAGATCGCCGAAACAACAGCCCTTGGTCGGGCACAACCTGAGTCATTCCGTACGTTAACGAAATGTCGAATCTAAGCAGAGTGATCCCGTTGAGAAACTACTATTGCTATTAACGTTATCCTCTATTAAGCACTGTAGGCTAATAATTTCTGAACGAGCGGTAATCAACTATAAATGAAGGATCCGAATTTTAGTACACTCTTAATATGATATCAGTCAGCCAAGCAGCATTAACAACTGGAAATCAGGTTAAAGGATGCCGAGACTGGTAGGGAAGTGCACCCAAGTATACTAAATAAAACAAGGGGTGCATTCCAAAACGTCAAAATACAAAGCATCAGTCTCTTTCATGTCTGAACCTCAGCATATTGTAAGCCAAATGTGCGCAACCACGGTTAAATGCTAGTTTTCAATTAGGTAGCGCAAGTTTGACTTTGTTGTTGTAACAGCATACATATTCAACAAAGAATTTTTTTTTGCAATCCTGATCCCGCCCATAATAATAATAATAGATTGGCGCTTACACATATGTTAGTGTTTGGCCGAGCTTCTCCTCCGATTTGTGGCGTGCGCCTTGATGTTTTCACACAAAGTGGAGGTACCTACAGTTTAACGCCGACTCCGAACGGCGATTGTATTTTTATGTTTTTCATGGCAGAAATACACTCGGAGGTTTGCAATTGCCTGCCGAAAGGCGACCGATGTTAAGAAAAAACCTTTTTTCGAAAACTTTTTGCGATGTTGCTTTGACCAGGGTTTGAACCCAGGCGCTGTGGAGTGGAAGCGCGCACTGCTTACCACTACATCACAGATCCCGCCCATCCCGACATTAAATTTTTCGGTCCTGAACCTGCTTATCGCGACGTCTTTTAAGATTCATCCGTGCATCTCGATATCTATGACTAAATAAAATTCACATGGCTTTAAAATTAATTTTAAACAATACATGTACTTCAATATCCATTTCTCGATTATTTTACGTTCGTCATACTGAAAAATCTGGCATCTTCTCGGTATTCTGTTAAGGATGATTTTCTGAAATTTTGGAAGATCTTCCCGAAAGCGCCCATCCCGTCGATTTTAAAATTAATACCGTGGGTGCCGGGGGTCCTGGAGAGACAGTCTCTGGCCAGATGTGCATAAATTTGGCTTGTTCCAGTAACGTGGTCTCTACTGTTGTGGGAAAGTAAATTTTGCATATTTTTGGTTCCAGTTCCAGGAACATTATTGCTTACATAATGCGAATGAAGACATTGGGAAAGCGGCCTTTATTGGAAAACTTTTCATACATATGTGTACGTACATATGTACATAGGTATGTATGTAGAGCAAGCTTACCATACCTTCTGTTAATGTTATTCCTTATCTTGTAAAGATTCTGACTTGTATTGATTTCATTTGGACAATTTAGTGCCTTAGCCAATATTAATCTGTCCCAATTTTCTTTTTAATTATAAATATCGGTCTAACCAATAAATAAGCTAGCCAGAGTTTGAGTTGTTAAAAAAATTTTACGCGTCGCCTTGCTCACAAATATTTGTTCCTGCTATGGTTTGCCATTTTCTTTTCATTAAAATCTAATATGAAAGCTAATGAGAACGTCGAAGGTATTGCTTCACAGGGTTGTCACACTTTGAATGCAGGTACAGCGCCGACCATACGTCAGCACATATGTATGTATGCATGTATGTATGTACATAAATGTGGGACCCAACAAATATACAAATACATGGAAACACACCGCAACGGGTCGAGTATTTCACATTCGGAAATGCAATGGTATTGCACATACATACATACATATGTACATATATTTATGTGTATGATTTGCAACCAGAAACTAGTGGCATTGTCTACGCTAGCCAGCGTATTACCCATAGTGTATAACCGGCAACAGTTTCAGCAACGGCAAAAACAACAGGCGTACAATAAGGCCAGCAACAGCGCACTGAATATCCGCATCTGCATCGATGCCTAATACAAGACAGGAGGTCTCAGCTAACCAGCCAACCAACCAGTCACTCAGTCAGCCAGCCAACCGACAACAGCAGAGCAACGAATAACAAACAAAAGCAACAACAATATTCAGCAATAACGTCAGCAAGTAGCAGCAATAACAGTTGCAGAGGCTAAGGCTGCGACCGAGGCTGCTGCTGAGGCTGAGAGGGCTCCACCACTTACATTTATTCAAACATGCTACCTTGCACAGTATACTACAAAATATTTACATACATAAAAACATAACTGTCGAGTGGCTGCGCTGCGTAACTCTGTCTAAACTACCCGTTTTAGGCTGCTTTGTATGGTAGGTAGGTGTACTTCGATACCGTTAGGGATGGTGTTGGATTCTAATAGGGACTGGATGAGAAGAGCCTACATTTGGTGGCCAAATGGTGGGTGCGAATAAGCCTGAAAATATTCGTTGGAGTAGCATCATATATGAATACTTACACACTTAAATAAATATGTATGTATATACAGTTGTACATATGTATTGCGTCAATGCTAGGTGTACACTATCGGTCGGTCGATATTCAAGGTGGGTGGATGTGTACTATGAACGAACGAAATTCAGGCTAATGGCTGCTGTAGAAACCCATCTACATGTACTATTTTCCAAAAGTACGGCTACATGAATATCTCCATAAGTATTTACAAACACACAATTGTATGCGTGTGTTTGCGTAGCAAAATTCTGATTGCAATACAACAAAATTTACTAAACATCGACTAAACTTCGTCCAGTCCAACAACCTCAGATCATATGAATTTTCGGGACAAAACATACATACATACATATGTATGTATGTATGTATGCACATACCTATAAAACAGCTTTTAAAAGTAAGCTAAGCAGTGTGGGCCGCACGCAACACACCCAACTAGTACTCCACTTTCGCACACCGCATGCCATTATTTCGCGGATTTGGACACGACTTGCTATAGACATTTGAAAAATGGGATAATAGTACGTTTTAACATTACACTAATGGGAAGTACAGTACACAGATAAGGCAGGCAGCATAAACTGAAAATGCATCAAAAAGGAAAATAAATTTTAATAAGTTTGCTAACCGCAAAATTGGTTACATTCCAACTATTTAACACTTTTTTTATTTGTCATCTTTAAAACTAATCAAAATTTACTACCACAAACTTTGTACAAACTTTCCGACACATATATGTATGTACATACATAAGTACGTGCAACACACATACATAAGTATATACCTACATACAAACCCACGCATCCTTAACCTATCGGCCGTAGTACCTGCATACGTATACATTTCTTTTCAATCGTTTGACTGCGCAAAAAAAGCGTCACACGAGGCCTGTTCGAGCAGCCGCATGCGGGGGTGGCAAATGCCACAAACGCGCACTGGTTGCCGCCTCAGTTGTACAGTGAACAGTGCTCGACTCTAAAGTTCGCGATGCCTTCGCGTTCATGGATTTTCATTTGTGCGTGTGCCAGTGTGTTTGCGCTTACTCCCAGTGCCATCGCCACCGTTTTCCATTTCCACTGCGCTAGCCAACAACTCCAGACATCTTTGCTGAGCGAAGCACCAAACCCCAACTCATTCTATAATCAGCTTTCCTATCCACCCCAT